CCATCTTCTTAGCTTATATCATTCTTTGCTAGTACCAATCTAATACTACAATATATATTGAAACTTTGAAAGTGCCTGCGGCTGTACAATAAAAATTACATTAATTAACCAGAGTTTTTTTTTATTGGGTTTTTTTCTATATAATTGTCTTAATTTAATATAATTTAAAGTGTAAAATAAATAAATATATATATATATATAGAAATCATTCGAACATTGGAGCCGTCCGTTCCTTAATGTTGCCTCCTGTAACGAGGATCGGACGGGCAGGCTTCACCAGAACTGTTGGCGTAGTCAAGTTGCCTGCTTGTGATGGTCATCAACGAAGGAGCAAACAACTGGAACGGAACCATGTGCCCTGACTCCTGTGGACGGTAAGCTGGGGGGAGTGGTCCAACTTAGTGGCTAAGATGGTGACTGGCCAGTTTATGTTAGTGGCAGAATTATTCCATCTAGAAGCAATGGTGAGAAACGGGCTGCTTCTTGGCAACTTCTGTCGGTTAAAATGTCTAATTCTTATGTATTCAAGGTATTTGGCCGGCCACTTGGGATGTGCATGAACGCGTTTGAAAGGAACTTTGGTATTTCTTGTAAGAAAAGAAAAAAGAAGAAAAGTTGGGATTCTCAACCTCAATTCCAACTAATTATGGGGGAGAAATCTTTATAAAGAAAAATCTTGGAATAATTTCTTCCCCACATGATCTTGAAATAATGAGTCCGTACTATGTTGTTCTTATGATCACTAACTTTTGCCCTCAACATGTGGTGCTCTCACTATTATACCCTCACCTCTTTTATTTTTTCTCTCAATTTTCTTTTTAAATTCTTTATCTAATATATATTCTGCTTCAATCCAGTGACATAGATATTGAGTTAAGATTGTTCACTTTCAATAAGTGACGTGTTTGAATCTCATGAAATTTTTTTTTCCTCTCAATTAATATATAAATAATTTTAATTTGTTCAAAAAGAAGAATTCTTTATTTAATATCCTCATAATTCCTCTTTAATTGTAGAAAAATAATTTTTTAATTAATTTGCATAATAAGAGACAATATT